CCGACCCCTCCGGCGGTGGCGGCCGTCCCCGGGGAGCGATCAGCGGCGGCAGGTTTGGAGGACCAGGAAATGCGCTGGCAACCGCCACTTCATTAATACGCTACTACCCTCGTGCGTCCCTCTGTCTGTCTGCCTGTCTATCGGACCATCCGCTCGCCCGCCCCCGCCAAATCCATCCATGCGGCTTGTGCCGGCTGGCTAATGCGCCGCCAGATCGACGGAAGCCCCACGGTTGCCGTGGCAACCTCGGCAACCTTGGCAACCTCAACCTTGTGCCCGCTTTTGCTTTTGGTGAGCCGCCGGATCGGAGCTGCTCGGCCGTCGTCGTGCGCGCGCCTTTGGGATCTCTGTTGGGCTTGCTTGGGCTCTCCGTCGGGTGCAATCCGTATTTGCGCTCCCTGTGGGGCTCTCCGTTTCGGATCTTCGTTGTAGTGCTCTCCCTTGTGCCCTCCATTGTTAGGCTCTCCGTTTAAATTCTTCGTGGGGCTCTCTCCGTTGGGCCCTCCGTTGTTGGGCATCGTTGTGCCCTCCGTTGTTGGGCCCTCTGTTGAGCTCTCCGCAGGGGTGCGAGAGAGACAGAGCGACGGTGCACTGTACGGCGTCAGCCCGCAGAGACGTCCGCGTCTCGAGGTCGCACCCTGTCTCCGCGTCCGATTCGGTACCTGTTGGCCCCCTCGCCCCCCTTCCCGCCCCCGCGGTGCGGTATCGGGCTGTACCGGCCGACCGGCGCCAGCACCGCGCCAGCGCTTCGTCGCTCTGTCTCTCTCGCGCCCACGCCGGGCACCCCCCGAGCGAGAGAGAGGCAGATCAGTGAAAGCACTGTGGACGGGATCAGCCCGAGGATCAGCGCAGCCCCGGCCAAGCAGTCCAAGTGGCGGCGGCTCTGGAGACTGGGAGTCGTTTTCGTAGAGAAAACTCGCCCTGTCTCTCTCGCACCTCCGCGGAACGCCCCATGAGTGCGAGAGAGACAGAGCGACGAAACGACTCTCAGTCTGGATCGGCGTCGAGCGAAGCAGGCAAAGCAACGACGGCCGAACTATCCAATTCGGGATGGAATAATGAAAGGCGCAAAGGCCTTTGCGAAGTTTGCCTCCCAGAAGGGACATTAAAACGCTGGGGGCAAATTAATCAGCTGCGCAAGTTTCAGATGAGAGCGGCAAAAGCAGTGTTCGCTGGGTTGGCTGGCGCCGCGTCGCGCTGCGTGGTGCACAGTGTAGTGCACAGTATAGCGCGCGGCGAGTCGGGCAAATACTCAAATACTCGACCCGAGTTTCCGTCGCATGATTCAATGGACGCTTTCTTGGAGGCACAGGCTTTGTGCACAAAGCCCTGGCCACGGGCCGCCCAGCCGCGCCCAGCAGACTGATTCTCTCTCTCTCTCTCTCTCTCTCTCTCTCTCTCTCTCTCTCTCTCTCTCTCTCTCTCTCTCTCTCTCTCTCTCTCTCTCTCTCTCGCACCCCGCACTCATGGGGCGGGTGCGAGGGAGATGCGAGCGCTGTTCGGAGTGTGGTTGGACGGCGGCACGCCACGCGCCGCGCGTCGCGCAGGTCGCCCACCCCCGCAAGGCCGCAAGGCTCACACTCACGGCCCTCTCGTTGTGGAGCAGGAAAAAGGCGTCCTTCATTGGCCGTGCCACATGGTCGCCAACAATGCGGCCGCAAAGAAGAAAACGGACAGAAGAAAAATGACGTGTCGGGAATCTCTCCGGACTAAACACGTGACTTCCTCTTTTTTCCCCCCCGGAGACACTGTGGTGTCGGGGCGGCGGCGGTCGGGGCGCCGCGCCGGAGGGATGGCGGTTATATTCTGTACCGCCTCGCCGCCGTGGCCACGCCGTGCCGTGCCGCGGGATTTTCTCCCCAGTGCCCCTCCGAGGAAGCAGCAAATCCAAGTCGTTTGTCATTTGTTTTTCATCACATGCCCGGGCCGGCCCCGCGCGCCCCGCGGCTTGGCTCTGCCTTACTGTCTTGGACTACATTCCGCGCCGCTTGGGGTGCCATGCCGTCGCGCCCCGCGTCGCGCCGTCGCAGTGCGATGCAGGTTGTTTTTTTAATGCTTCCGGAAACAGATCTGGGTCCTCGGGTCCAGGACGCTCAGTCCCCTTCCTAACTAGGCCGCCCGCGAGGGGTCTCCCAGCGGGTGCCGTGATTTTGACGCCAGGCGCCCGTGACTGGCATATTTGGCTGATTAGACTTTAGCAGAGTACACATCCTTCACGTCGAGGGGGCAACCACTCGAGAAACCCTGTGTTCCTTGGAGCCTTAGAAATCTCTGGGAATCCGAAATCTTTCCCAAAAAAAGGCCAAAAAAAGCAGATTTTTGGCGTACAATTGGATAAAATCTTGCGAAAATCTCTTGTCTGAAGAAATCTTGTTTCCCCGAACATCGAACGTGGTGTCCCCCTCGCGTCATGTAGTCAAATCAACCGCATACTGCACTAGAGAAAAATTGTCGACACGCAATAAGTAGACAGGGCAGTGCACCACGCTGGCAGCTTGCTCATGGTCTGCGCGACCACCGCCAGGGACAGCCAGTCCCGACGGGGGAAATCACTCGCGTAATAGTCGGGTCACCGATTCCTAGTATTACGCGTAATAGTAATAGTGTAATAGCCAAATTTTTAAAAAAATTCCCTTTTTACGGTCCGATTTTAGCCTAAATCTGGATATTTTCGAGCGTAATAAGCCTTCTGTAATAGCGTAATAGAACGTAATAGGGATTAGTCGGTTCACAGTTTTTAAGAGTGATTTCCCCCTCGGCCAGTCCTGGGGGCAGCCCATAGCCTAGCCCAGTCATTGGGCCTGCTGCTGCTGCTAGCTGCTGCATGCCCAGGGATTTCGACAAGGCCCCGAGGCGGCCTCGGGCACTGTCCCCGATAGCAACACGGCAAAATCTAGCAGGTTAACCAGGTCGTGGACAACATCAACAACAACAACAACAACAACAACAACAACAACAACAAAAACACTGAGCGCCTTCCAGCGTCGTGGGTCGTAAACTTGCCAGAAAAAACGATCCGTGGCGGGGCGGCGTTCCCCCGTAGTCTATCCATGAGCTATGGGATCACGTGACAGTCGGCGCCAGGCACTGCTCGGCGTGCTCGGCGAGCGCCGCGCTCCGGGATGACAGGGTAGTTTATGTTCCGGGGGAAGGCTTGTCAGAGGGTACCCTGGGTCCGCCTCGCGTCGAAGTCGAAGCAGACGAAACCAAGGACACACCCGTCTGGTGACGGTGCTAGTCAACAACAACGCTCTTGGTCTGTGGTCAGTGCTGACCAACGCGAACACGCACTAACGCACGCACGGACACTGACACTCACTCGCGCGCTCGCGCTCTAGCGCACGCCGCCGCCGTGGCGCACCGGCGCGGACATGGCGGTCGTGCTGGAGATCGTCGCGAGGTTCGTCGCGGGGCGGGCAGCGGGCACGGCGCGGGCGGCACGCACTGGCGGAGCAGAGCAAAGCCTCCGGTGGTCGCGAGAGAACTGAGAGGGGTGGGTCGGGCGCGGCGGCGGCGGCGGCGTCCGAGGCGCCCCGAAGGTGGGGGAAGTACCGACAGAGGGCGCCGCGCCCTTCCGCCCTTCCACCCTCCCCCGCCGCCCCCCGCTGCCGCCCCCGGAGTCCCCGCCGACCCCGCGGGGGGCCGCCGCCGCCGCCTACACCTCCCGTCGCGAATGGCGTATCCGCCGCGGGCCGCGCCGCGCATACCGCCCTCTCGCTGCGGCGGGCTAAGACGCCGCTTTGCATGCGAGGCACGGCACGGCACGGCAGACTGATTCCGAGAGTCGTTTCGTCGCTCTGTCTCTCTCGCACTCGTGCGGTGTCCCGTACGTGTGCGAGAGAGACAGCACGACCAAAGAGACTCTCGGAATCAGTCCGCGGCGCGGCGCGGAGTCAGGCCGGCGAGGCGCTGATCTCTTCTTTACAACCTGAGGAAAGGGCTGGCCGCGTCGGTTCCCCTGCAGGGCCCTGCCTCCCCTACGGACTGATTCCGAGAGCCGTTTGCGTTGCTGTCTCTCTCGCTCCTATACGGAACGGCTCATGAGGGCGAGAGAGACAGAGCGACGGAAACGACTCTCGGAATCAGTCTGCTGGTTCCCCTACACCAGGCAGACGGGTTAAGTGAACGCCGGCGCGCGCCCGCCGGCTGCGGGGTAGGCCACCCAACCGGCACGCCCTCGACGCGGGTCGCCCTGCCGCACGGCGCTCGCCCCGCCGGGACTCTGCGCCGCGCCGGGCAGCACACACGGCAGCACCACGCCCGCCAAGCACCGTCGCACTCGCAATGCAGATTAGACGGACAGTGCACTATAAACAGAAGATGACACTTGAGGCTACTGTTATTTTCAATATGCAAGTTGCCGTGTTTTTCTAACTAATTTAAATATTCAATTTGTATTTACTTATGGAAGCGTCATGGAAATGCGGCTGACTCCCTTCACATGCCCTTTCCCTTCGTCCAAGTTTCGAAAACGGAGGTCCTTCCCTTCCCACGATCTGTAAACCCGTGTGTTGTTTCGCCACACTATCGGCAAGTGACGTCGGAATGATGTGTTTGTTTGTGGAATGATGTCACAGCCACACCCTCCATACAGTCGCGCAAAGCTTCCCTCCGCGCTCCGCAACAGCGTCTCTCGACCGATCTGTATTGATAAAAAGCTAACTTGCGCCGAGCGAAGCACGTCCTGCGACCGGATCCAACGAAGTATCCTTGATAAAAAGACGTTTCCTTAAAATTGAAAGTTTGTGACCACAATAAGAGGCGTAGAAGGCCTGCGCCGAGTGGAACGGACTCCACTTGGCGGAGTGATACTTGTTTCACGTGCTTTCTCGCTTTGTCCTTCCGAGGTGAGTCATGTTTATCAGGTACTTTCCACGCCACACCTTTCGATGAGCATTTTACGCCTACCCACAGTCAGATAAGTAGCCATCGACTTTCATTACTCGCAATCATAGCGTCTCGCGCTCCGCAGGCCTGCACTTCCGAGAGGACTATTTGACGCGGAGGGACTACTTTTGCAAAACAAGGCTCGAGAAGACTCAGCTGTTCCGACATTTGTTATTGAGGCAAAGACGTCGTCTGCGTTTGGTACCTAAATATTTGTGTGTTAATTCGCTCCGTTCGAAACTGAAAATGAAGTTCCAGTACAAGGAGGAGCACGCGTTCGAGAAGAGGAAGAGCGAGGGCGAGAAGATCAGGAGGAAATACCCCGACAGAGTGCCTGTAAGTCCTTTTTGCCGTGGGATGAAAACTGCCTAGGCTCGTCGCCATCAACTCGGGGGTCGGGCTGACGGTTCTTTGTTTACGTTATCTTCATTTCGCCTCGACGCGTTTCTTCCTTGCATCATTCTGTTCGAATTTCAAGTCATTTTCTCTCTTTGAAGAGAATTGGGCCCGCGTATTTCGACCTGACTCCTGTCGAAAACTGGCGAGTGGTGAAAAGCGACGAATGGCGCATTTGTTATTCAAGGCTGAAGTCTCAGCTCAGCTCGCCTGCGTTCTTTGTTCCCCGCGAAGAATCGGGCAAACAAGTCAACAGCTCGTTTTGGTGACGCTAGAGATGTCACAGCGCGTGCTGTTTTCTGAAAAAATGTATTTTTGGATGAATTTCTGGCATTGGAAAATATTGTGTCATTGTGCAATTAAAAAGTGAAACCTACTAAAGGACTCACAGTGCACCTGCTCGTATTAGAGCTTTCCTTGCATTCATCTGCTCAAAATCAAATTACTTTTTATGTGTACCTTTGATGCATTGAATCGAAAGCCATAACTGCCCCAATTACGTCATTAACCTCCAGAAATCTTGAATTTGTTTGGTAGTTTTCACTTTATTTGTCAGTGTCAACTGGATTCTTCAAACAGAATACAGCCATACATTTCAGAAGTAATAGTCCAAAATGAGAAAGTTTGGTTGATGGTGTCTAATATTTCACATGTTGTGTCAATATGACTCACTTAGTGCACTCTACTACTGTACAGTACAGTAGAGATCCATTTGATTCAAAATGTCTTAAATCACCAAACGCCGGTGAACTTGCCCAGGCCTTTATTAAATTAGCCTAAATTCTACCTCCCCATGACTTATGTATTAATTTGTGTGAGCAGCTTCCTGTACCTGGTTACTTACAACTTGTTCCAGGTTATTGTCGAGAAGGCACCAAAGGCAAGGATTGGAGATCTTGACAAGAAGAAATATTTAGTGCCATCTGACTTGACTGTTGGTCAGTTCTACTTCTTGATCCGGAAACGTATCCATCTTCGACCTGAGGACGCCCTTTTCTTCCTTGTAAACAGTGTAGTTCCACCCAGCAGTGCAACCATGGGTTCACTTTACCAGGTTTGTTATAATCGGTCAGCTAAAACTTTCAGACTCTTGTTTGACATGTAGTTCTGGTCTCATGTTATGTTTTTTGTTTTCTAGGAGCACCATGAAGAGGACTTCTTCTTGTACATTGCTTACAGTGATGAGAATGTTTATGGAAAATTATAACTTTAAAACCAAAACTACAGCCAGGAATTTTGAAGCAGAATCAACATAATGGAAAAATCAAGAAAAAGCTTAAAACCTACTTAGAAACCTTACAAAAAAAATTTCATAAAACTACTGAGGCATCTGCTTGTTAGAATGTATCCTTAATTTATTGTAGAGGTTTTATCTTCACTCTTTTGACTTGAGCAGTGTTTGGTTTCTTTCAATTTGTATTAGATCCAATTCCTTTCCTGCTTGTTTCAGGCTGTTGATCTCAGTCTATATTATTTCTGTGATTGCAAACTTTTTATGTAAATTTTTGTTGAGCCATTTGCATCTACCCTTGCAAATAGTGGTTTTAAAAATTGCACTAGCACATAACAATGGTGCTCCTTCAGGACGCTTCCTTCTCCAGTTCGGACTTCTATCACTTTAAAGCATTATATAAAGTATATTTTTGGTTTATGTTTTTCTTATGAATCCTTGCACATATTGTGCAGTTCTTTTTTTTAATTATTGTAATTCTGTTAATTTTGTTTCTTATCGTATACAGGAGTGTTTCACACATGTATGAGTCTAAAATAATGTGTACACTCTGGGAGGGATCTACTATATTCAAAAAAAGTAACTCCTATTCGTAAGACACCTTATATTGTGTAAAACCAGTTTATTTTAGATTACTGTAATAGTAAATCATTTCATGCTTACAAGGATATTGGGTAGTGATAGCTAGTAATAGTCAATGTTCTATTGAACAGGAAGCTAAAAATACATGTGTAAAGTATGACCGTTCGTGTGAGTGATTTGCCGTATGTGTGTGTGACTGTGTGTGTGTGCAATTGATAAATTAATGAAAAGGACAAAAAAACAATTAAAAGCCTTCAAAAAAACCTGAATTTTGCTCTGAAGCTTATTTATTTGAACCTATCCTGTACAAATTATAAATTAATCAGTCTGAGTACAACGAACATAAAAAGAAATTATCTTTGGCACACCTCAACTTGAATGCTATTTATTCAATACAGAAACCGTCTCCTTTGGAGAAATCGATACGTGGTCAGACCGTCGAAAAGAAGTCACTTCACTTCTAAGCTGTTGAACCTGCGGGCCAGTGCAAACAAAAGTGAATCTGAGCTGTTCGCACTGGGCGAGTGGGTGCAATACTTAAATCAGTCAATAAAAGATAAAAGCAGGAAGCAATAAGCCTGGGCGCAAGCAAAACGAAACAGATGGAAAGAGAGACTCACCTGTCTGTACAGGTCGACGATGACGCGCACTTCCGCCTCCTTGCGCGCGAGGCCGTCCTCCAAGTCGCGGATGCGCTGGGCCTGGGCGGCGTCGGCGGCCTCGGGGACGCCCCCAGTGCGGGCACCGCGACGCCGCTCGCGGTCTCGCGCCTCTCCGAGCGCCACCAGCTCCTCGCGGAGCGACACCAGCACGCCGCGCAGCTCCGACAAGCGCTTCTCGTTGGCCAAATCGCACACCTGGCGGGGAAGGGGGAATCACAACGACGGCCCGGGACTCAGGCCGACTGATTGTACAGTGAAGCCGGGCCAGACCTTGGTGGTGGCGACCTTGGTGTTCTTCGGCGCGGCTCTGGGCGCGGCGCGCACACGCCCCGTCGGCTTCCTGGGCGGCGGTCCTGGCGGCACCGCCTCGGCCGCCTTCCTCAGGAACGGGCGCAGGACGTGGCCGTAGTCCGCGACGTGCCGCGGGTAGCACTGGCAGCGCCCGGTCGGCCCGCGAGCCCCGCACTCCCAGCGCTCCTGTCGCAGTGCAAAGCAACGGCGTAAGCCGTCTGCCGCAATCGTGGGTTCGACACCGGCCGGCGGCAGTACGTTTTTTGCCACCTGCGGGCCTCTGTCGGCCGCGAACGTCGCGTTGTCCTCGGGCTGCTCGTGCTTCTCCTGGTCGGACGAGCACGCCGAGTCGTCGCTGGCGTCGCAGGAGGCGTCGTCGTCGCTCGCGTCCACGCCCAGCAGCGGGCAGGGGGCGGCCCGCGGCGGCGCGGAGGGGCAGGAGCGCTGCCGGGGCCGCGGCCGCGACGTGCAGGCAGCCCCGCGAGGGGTGCTGGCGCGGGCCGCGGGGGTGGGGGCGGGGGCGGGGGCCTGGCCGGGGGGCGGCGAAGTCAACGGACGCCACATCCTCCTCTGGGACTGCACCTGTCACAACAAACAGCGCATCGTGATGGGCGCCCCAGTTCCACGTCGACGGCGACATGGCGAAACGGATTGTCTCTTTATCTCTCTCTCTCGCACCCTTGGAGCGCCCTTTGAGCGCGACAGAGACCGTCTGACATGGTGACCTCCTTACCGCCTGGAGGCTGAGCTGCAGGTTGTGGCTGCGGCTGGTGGACGTGGCCGCCACGAAGGGGGCGGCCCGGGGGCGGGTGCTGGGGGCCGCGGGGGGCGGCGTGGTGGGGCGCGTCGCGGTGCCCCTCGGCGTCGTCGGCCCCGCCACGGGCACCAGGGACGGCGCCGGGCCGCGCGGCCGCCGCTTGAGGTGCGACGCGGTGGTGGGCCGCTCATACCGCGGCGCGCAGCGTCCCACCTGCCGGGCACGTCGCGGAGGTCACCAACGTGCTGCCCTGTGGTCGGCCTCTGAGCGGCACTGACCCTCATTCAAAGTAACGCAAATTGGGGGCATCGCGCCGCGCGAGATACGGTCTACGGTCCCCACGAGGTGGCCGATAACGGCCTTCGGGATGCCTTGCGCCTTGGCTGGGCCTTGCAAGCATGCCTGACTGGCAAAGCTGGCCTCCGCTCGGCTTGTTTACTTGGCTCATGTGTAGTGCACTGCAGGCGATGCCGAACAGTGATTTCGTCGCTGTCTCTCTCGCACTCATGGGGCGTCCCGCATAGGTGCGAGAGGGACTCAGCTCATTGCCTCGAATGCCTCTATCGAGAGTGACGCGCGCCAAGATGTGATGCAAGCGAGACCCACGAACCGGAGCCGCACTTTTGATTGTGGCCTCTGTGCGGGGCGGGGCGGGGGAGGGTTGCCGTGGCGGGGGCGGCGCTGACGGGGGCGGCGCTGACGGGGGCGGCCAGTCGCCGCGGGGGCTGCGGGAGGCCGTCTCGGACGGGGGCGGCGCGGGGGGCGGCATGGACACGGTCAGGCTGGACAGACGCTCCGCTGCGCCGCTGTCCGCACTACCGGCTGCACACACACTGCGATAACCCAGAGCAAACACGGCGGTGGGCGAGCAGGCACACTGCAGGACCCTAATCGCCACCCACCTGTCCACGGCCTCGGGACGCCGCGGGACAGGGCGTCGTCGTCACGGCCGGGTCGCGGGCTCTGCAACGGAGGAGGCGGGGTGAGTTGGAGCGCGCGGTGCGGGGGCGTTACTGCAGGCCCGTCGGGGCGTGCCCCCACCGCCAGGACGCCGCCGTGCAAGTGTCCGGCGCCGGCGGGAGAGCGCGGGGCGCGCAGCGGGTCGTCACGCCACTGGGAGCCGCGGGAGCCGCGGGAGCCGGTATCTGCGGACAGGCGGACCGCCGGGCCCCGCTCAACACGCAGAGCTCGGCAGCGAGCTCGGCAGCACATTTCCGAGTGAAAATAACGAAAATAATGGGCGTCGCGCGTTGGACCGCGTCAAGGCCGTCTGATCCCCCGCGCGGCCCGGCGGCGGCGCGCACGTTGCGGTAGCGGGGGTCACTTCCCTCAGTTTGCATATTTTCCATAGCAAATTGCCGTGAGCATTTACCGCCAGATTTGAACCCAGCGACGGCTGCCGTGCCATACTCACGCAGCCGGCCTTCTTGACCGCGTTCAACGCGCGGGCTGGTGCAGTCTGCACCCGGCTGGCGCCCGGCCTCGGTGGGGCCTCCGACGTCCGCGTCGCCGTCATCCAGGTCTAGAGGCAGCAGCGGCAGCCTGGGGCAAGCAGCTGTGGCCAATTCAGTCGGGGAACGTCCTCAACAACGTCCTCGATGACCCAAGGAGCACGCCAGGCCACGCCACACCAGGGCCCAGGGGCACCCGGCCACTAATTTGCCCGATTAAGCGCGGGATAGACGCACCGCCGTCAAGCCGCGCCACTGTACTGAAGCGCGCCGAGGTTCATGAAAGTACACGTTTAGAAGCTGGAGGTTTTCTGGCCACTCACTCGGACGCGCTGTCCAGGCCAGCCAGCATTTCCTGGAGCTGCAGCGGCCGGCCGGGCGGTCGGTCGGACAGCGAGAGGTTCACCACCTGCACCACCCCGTCAACACCGTCACCAAGGTGTCCAGCGGCATTCGGCCCCGAAACGCGAAACAAGCTGACTGACGTCGACCTGGTCCAAGTCGATGGAGGAGCTCCCGGAGGTGGCCGACGACTCGGCGCTGTCGGCGTTGAAGTGCTCGTTGCTGAAGATCTGCATGTCGTCCTCCAGCAGCAGTCGCGGCGTCCTGGGCGTGTCCTCCAGCGGGTCCTCGTAGACGCTGCTCCCGCTGGACACGTAGCCCGCGTCCTGCGCGGTCGCCAGGGTGCAGTTATCCTGGTCATCCTCCTCGTGGCCGTCGATGCCGAGCCCTAGGCCGAGCCCGAGGCCGAGCCCTTTGGTCGGTCGTCGCTCGCTCCCTTCTTCGTCAGCCGAGTGAGTGAGTGTGGGTGCGGCGGGGCTGCCCTGCCGTCTGATTCCGATCAGTGCTTACGTCGCTCTGTTGCTGTCGCCGCACTCATGAGGCGTAAGGCCAGAAAACTGGTGGAGGCGGCCAAAATTCTAGACGTGTTTTGAGCTAAGGAGTCTCTAAATGGGACTCGAACCGAACGTGTGGCCCCACCAATGGATTGCTTTCCGAACGAGGAATCCATTGGTAGGATCACACGTTCTGTGTCTAGGGGCGGAAGAGAGAAAGAACGACGAGGCACTGTTCAGAATCGGACTGTCCTGACCCTGGCCCTATGAGCGCGAAAGTGAGTCCGTAGGCGGGTGAGGGGCGAAGGTCGGCCGGCGGAGGATAAGTTCGGTCGGCGACCGATGCCACGTCGCCATCCGCCAATTCGTCGGCTTCGCGGACGCCAATATGCAAATTTTTGCTTTCGCCTCGCGGATTGATACAGCGCAGATGCCGTGGCGGCTATCGCGGCGGGACGTCGCGGCGCTCGTGGCGGGAGCACTTGTTTCCCCATCGAGTGGAAGTTCTGTGTGTCGCACAGTGGGCCAGAAGACCGGTGGAGGCGGACAAAACTCTAGACGCGTTTTGAGCTCCAGAGTCACTAAATGGAACTCGAACCGAACGTGTGACCCCACCAATGGATTCCTCGTTCGGAGAGCAATCCATTGGTAAGGTCACACGTTCGGTTCGAGTCCCATTTCGCGACTCTGGAGCTCAAAACGCGTTTGGAGTTTTGTCCGCCTCCACCGGCCTGGCCCACTGTGGGTCGTGCCGCCGCCGCCGCCGTTGGTCGTTTTCCCGCCCAACAACACGCCGACGCCGACACTGATAGGGCCGCCAGACTACGCCAGCCTCGCCGGTCGGGCCTACTCCGCGGCCGCGATGCCCGCGGCAGTCACGCCATGGGCCTGGCGGCCCGCAGCCCGCGGCCCGTCATCGGAATCGGATCGGCTGGCGGTCGCTGACGATGCGTTGCACAGGTTGCACACCGTCGCCGTCGCGGAGTCAGGGCCGCGACCAGGCATGTCCAGGAGGCTGCTTCCGAACGGCGCTTTCGTCACTCTGCCTCTCTCGCACTCGTACGCGCCCCACCGCAGGAGTGCGAGAGAGACAGAGCGACGAAAGCACTATCAGTTCGGAATCAGCCCGCGGACTTACTACTTCCCGTCGCTTCAAGTGCCCAATAGACGCGAACGCCGCATGAGTCATAGACGTCGCGCGCGGCCGAGTTCGCCATGTCGTATCCGGGGACGGCGGGGAAGTGGAGTGGACACTGACGTGCGCGGTAGTGTCACCGCGGCGGCCCCCTCCGCCAGCAGCCACGGGACTGGCCCAGAGTCTTAGACTGGCCTAGACCCACCAGGCCGCCCCCTCCGCCAGCAGCGCGGCGGCGGGCCTCCGCTTGCAAGGGGCTGTGCACCAATAAGCGCGGGGCGCGCAACAGCTGACTGATTCCGAGAGTCGTTTTCGTCGCTCTGTCTCTCTCGCACTCATAGAGCGTGCCGTATGGGTGCGAGAGAGACAGAGCGATGAAAAGGACTCTTGGAATCGGCCTGCAGGCACTGCTTGACGCAAGGATGCTGCTCCTGTCTTTCGCAGTCCCATTTTAAAAACAGTCACCCCGCCCCGCGGCTCACGCTGTCTGGTCGCCGGCCGGGACCAGAAGCCAAAAACACAAACAGACTCACACAGACACACCGCCACTCACACAGACATGCGTGATGCGCGGGGCAAGGCACGCGGGCGTCGTCATCTATTTTTGCACTGCGCGCGCCGCGGCGACCTTCTGCCAGGCGTCCATGTCCTGCCCATATCGTGCAGGTCATGATCCACAGGCACGCCCACCTGGGCCGACCTGCTGCCTCACTGGTGGCGCCTGCCCATGTCGCACAGTGCGCCAGAAGACCGGCGTGGAGGCGGTCAAAATCCCGGACGCGTTTTGAGCTCCTGAGTCGCTAAATGGGTTTCGAACCGAACATGTGACCCCACCATTGGATTGGTCTCCGAACGAGGAATCCATCGGTGGTGTCACACGTTCGGTTCGAGTCCTGTTTAGTGACTCCGGAGCTCAAAACGTGTCCAGAGTTTTGGCCGCCTTCGCCGGTCTTCTGGCCCACTGTGTGTCGCACCGTACACCCACCTGTGCCGACCTACGCCTGTTGCCGTCGGCGTCCTGGTCCGCCGCGTCGTCGACGACGACCCCGGTCGTGTCCGAGGCCTGGGGGCCCTGGCGGCCGTGCCGACCCTGGCCGCGGCCTTGCACCGGCCCGTCGGCCAGGCGACGCACGTCCTCGGCCAGCCCGTGCACCAGCCCCAGCACCTGCCGCCACGCCTGGCCAAGCAGTTCAAAAAGACGAGGGAAATAAATAAAATTAATTAAAAAGTATTTTGCTGTTGGTCTTATTGTTGAATCCACTGCACACAAGGCGGCGCACTACTCGTGTGCACTGTTGGCGCAAGCACTAATCTTATCACCGGTCGAGCTCCGTTGGTCTGAATGTTGAAAAACTACTTCTCCGAGAGAGTACAGCCCTAGTATTGACTCGCTTCGCTTGCAGCTGTGCTGGTGATCCCGCCAAAACAAACCCTCGAGCTGTTGCTTTAGAGGGTACTGCGTACGTACCGCGAGCCTGACACAGCTGCACGGCGTCCGCCGAGAGAGCTCAGCTACGCAAAGTGTTTTTGAGTAGATAAAACGGAAGGAATGGCAACTCTCTAGGAATCTATGTGTTGACAAGCGTAGCCCCGCCTCGAGCTGAACAGGTATCAGTCACAACTGCTGCGCGGCGACTACGCACGCTGAGTGGGTCAGCCTGGCGAGTAGGCCGCCTGCTGCTGCGCTGGCACGGGCGGCCGAAGGGTTGCCTACCCACCAGGCTGACACCGCAGTTTCCTCTAAACTTGACTTGTACCTGGTCGTCTGGCTCGACAACGGCAACCATCTCCTCGCTGTCCGTCGTGTGAGACGCCTCGGCCGAGCACGGCGTCGTCGCCGGGGACAGCGGGCGCACGGAGGCGACCTGGGGCTGCGGCCGCGGGCAGGGGCTTTGGAGCAGGGCCAGGGGGGCGGGGGCCGGCCGCGACAGCTGGACATCGCGCTGCTCGGCATCAGCTGGCGGCGAGGCCTGCACTTGCGCCTGGGCCAGAGACTCGTGCCAAGACGCGCTGGCACCGGGTGCCGCGGGCACGGGCACCGCCTCGTCGAACGGCGCGGGGGCGGGGAGGACGATGGTGGTGTCCGAGGACTCCACGGACACGGCGGGCAGGGCGTCGCGCAGGAAGGAGCTGGCGAGGCGGGCGCTGAGGTCCACGTCGGAGGGGCTCGCCTTGGGGACGGGGTTGCCGTCGTGCGGCGGCATGGAGTGCGGAGCGGCGTCCGTCCATGCCTGCTTGGCGGCGGGCAGTCGCGAGTGCAGGGTCTGCGTGTGCACGGAGCGGGCGGGCTGCGGCGCCTGGGGCGGCACGAGCGTCGAGCACGCCGTCAAGTCCACGAAGGGAGGGCTCCGCTTGGGCACGCCAGGAACCCCCTGCGCGCACCGCTGCCGCAGGACGGACGTCAGCGTGTACGACGCGGTGGGGGTCGGTTCTCGCCGCCACGGCGAGCTGCTGGACGTCGGGGTGCTCGTGTCGACGGCGGCCGCCAGTGGAGGCTGCGGCAGCACGGCCGAGGGAGGCGTGGGCCGCAAGAACGCGCTGATGGGCCTGGGCGCTGAGGTCGCGGCGAAGGGCGTCGGCATGGCGCAAGGCGTGGTGCCAAAGGGCCCCGAGGACGGTGGGCCCGCGCCCTCCATGAACGGCACGCCCTTCTTCTCCTCCCGCGAGGCGAGGCTGGACCCGAAGGCGAAGTCCAACTTCGGCGGGGCGCTTCTGAGGATGTCGGCGATGGGGTTGCTGACGGCGACGGGCATGGCGGGGCGGAACGGTTTGGCCGCGGTCGAGGTGTACGCCGGCCACTTCTTGTTGAGGAACAAGGACTCGGGCTCGCCCTGCTGCATCACTGCGAGGCCACCGAGGCCACCGAGGCCCAGACCGTCTTGCGTGGGAGGGAGAGGGCCGTCGTGAACGCTGCCCGCGCTCAGTGATCGGCGATCGCAGTGCTCTTCAGCGGGCCGCACGATGTGCGCCCTGCCCTGAGCAATGCCAACAATTCATTTTTCACCATACATTATGCAAGAGTTGTCATTTGGAAACTTGATTCTGTTATGCTCAAATTTTCCAGTGTCATGTATTACCCGTGGGGTGCGCGGGTGCAGCGCCGCCCCTGCGCGGCGACTGTCGGCCGGCCGCAGGCTCTTCATGTAGTCCAACTGGTCGCGCAGCGTACCGCAACGCACCTCCGCCAAGTCCAGCTGCTGCTCAAAGTCTACAAAATTTCATGTCTTACCAAAAAGAAGGCCAGAAGAAGGCTAGAATCAGATTTGAGCCCGCATCAGTCGCCTTGCGAGTGCGACGCCAGGAGCGTAGGCAGCCCAACTGACGCCGAGCCGCCAGATGCTCGCCTGCGAGGGAATTACCTTGCAATCCAAGTTTGCTGGGTTTTGCAAAGGATACTTCGGTCATTTCGACGACACTATCGACTACAGCTTTCTGTATATCTATGGGACAGAGGGCAATTTAACCCTAATTTCACTGTTTGGAATCGTAAAACTGAAAGAACGTCGAGAATCGAGCCAACAATGGTACGTAGAATGAGGCGCCATCGCCTGCGTTTGACAGGCCGTGCGCAGGCTAGGAAACTCGTGGACGGGAAGGACGACTTGCTTCAGTGCATTCTGGCCGATTCGTGCTCCAACCCAGGATGACAGCCGACTTTGCCACGGCACAGCACATGGAAATTAGCCAGGTTGGGTTCATTTCGATTGGACCCACGATTAACTATAGCTCAGTGATGCTTACGGACCAGTAAGGTAAGTTGGCACGCGATGTGACTGAGGGCGCTGAGGGCTGTGAAAAGCATTGGAAAGCTCCCCTCTTTTCATCCAAAACCAGAACGCCCGCGTGGGTGTCTCCGCTGTACTTCAAGTGCTGCATGTATCTTCGAGAACTATGAACTCCTGTGCCAAATCACAGGTTCCCACCTTCCTCAATTTCCTGACTTCCAAGACCCAAATTTCAAAATCTACATCTCACCATAGAGCACAAGTCTGAACAAATTTGGCTTATCGAAAACTTGAGATAGTTCGAAAACAATTGCAAAATCTAGAGACTTTGGCAGAAATTCCTTGCATAACTTTCTCTTCTCATTTTCAGGATTTCTTGTTCATGTACATGTTAAAAGTGAACCCCCTAAGGGAATTAAATAATTGAACACAGTATTTGTAATGCAATGGGTGTGCCACAATGCAGAAGAATGTTTAGTTGGACAGTCAGTTCTTGCAACTCAGATTGCCTTGCACTAGCACTTACTGCGGTATATAAGGCCAATACCAATGTAACATTGAATGAAGGAAAGTGCAAAACGATTATAGTACCTAACAAAGTGAAATAAATACATTATAGTTTTAGACTGTCAAATTCCATGAGTGACAGCAGTTAAATTAAACGACCACTGAAAGATCTTCAGGGTGAGTAAAATGGGAAAATGATGGAAAATAAAACTGACAATGTGTGAATGGCCAAATTTATTTTACTAAATAAAACCACACACAGGATAAACACTTATTCGTTATCGTCGTCATCATCATCTTCTTGACTGTTGATCTGTAATCAGAAAAAAAGAGTAATTAAAACAATGAACTGCACTAATGAATTGCTTTAACATTTCTTTTTAAGTTAGGACATTCCCATTAAGCTGCCACCCTCTTGAAAAATGGAAGTAATATCAGGCAAATGAGGAACAAGGACATTAAGCAGCCAGTAAAAGAACTTGTACCACTCAGTCTTGTAAACATAGAACCAACCACTGCAAATGGAATCAGGGTTTACACCGATTTCCCTGAACTGTTTTTCCTGATATCCAGGGTATAAATTTCCAATTTTCCCTCACGAGTTACTAATTTTATGTGCACTCCCAGAGCCAAACACATTGCAGCTTGCACCCGTGCTGCATCAAAAATTTATAATTTGACCAAATTATCAAAATTTCCCTAACTACAATCAAATTTTTTCGGACTTTGCCTGACTTCCACTTCCCCCTTTTATTTTTCTGACTTTTCCATGACTTCCCTGACTGGTGTGAACCCTGGGAATGTAGACAGGTCAATATGAAAGACAAGGGACCAAACAGAATCAAGCAGCTCTGCTGCCACAACCAAGTGTCCCAATATCTCAGAACAAGACCTCATTAAACATTAAAAATTACAATTAACTCAGCTATTCACGCAAACTGTGCTGAACATGGTTTACCCCCAAGGTTATAACCACCTCAGCGGATATGGAATATGCCCTGCTATGACTCACTCGAAAGGAATCAATTTGATCTATGAACCCTGGCAAAGGACTAGACTGCACAAAATCAAGCAGCTCCACTGCCAATCAAGCAGTCCCATAACTTAATACAGGACTACCTGGAAGACTCAATATAAATGTCAAATAGCTTTTAAAAAGAAAGCTGTACTGAACATGGTCTACCCCCAAGGTTGTAACCACCTGAGCGGATATGGAATATGCCCTGCTATGACTCACTCGAAAGGAATCAATTTTATCTATGAACCCTGGCAAAGGACTGGACTGCACAAAATCAAGCAGCTCCGCTGCCATGATAAAATGATCTCACTGAGAAGCGGGATCAAATTAACAATGAATTCAAAAAATGAATGAAGGGGAACCACAGGAATTGAATAGGACATAACTCAATCACAAAAAAATAGGAAAAGAAATGTTACCTGGAAGTATCTCAATTCATAGGTGTCCTTAGTTGTGGCAATAACTCGCAGCCAATCTCTGAGGTTGTTCTTCTTCAGGTACCTCTTAGCAAGGTACTTCAGGTACCTGAAAACAAAACATTGGTTCAAAGTCCGGAAATAAAAGAAGTACAGCAGCAGAACACAGGATAATGCATTAAAAAAAACCAACACCTACCTTTTACTGAAGGGAACAGATGAACTGAGGCACAACTTGTTCTTTTGCCTCTCAATGCTGACGGATGTGCCAAAGTTGTTAAGTTTGTTATTAACCTTGATTTTCTCCTGCAGGTACTTTTCCTGAAAATGACAAAACAGTAAGTATGTTGCACACAATCAGCAACTAAGAATAAAAGCCTTAGAGGTCCACAACTTACAAAGTTAGTAACATCCATGATGTTATCTTCCACAGGGTTCGTGCAGTCCAAGTAAAACTTAAGAGCGAGCTTAGTCTTCTTCTGAACAGCCTTTCCCTTCAGTACCATCTTCTTGGGCTGAGGCTTCTTCACACCACCAGGAACCTTCTTGGGGTCGGCCTTCTTGGGCTTGGCAACCTTCGGTGCCGCAGCCTTCTTGACAGCTGAAGCATCAGCAGGTTTGGTCTCCTCAGGCTTGGCCTCAGCCTTGGGTGCCGCAGGCTTCTCAGCCTTCACAGGCTTCTCAGCTTTGACAGCAGCGGGCTTGGCTGCGGGCTTGTCAGCCTTCACAGGCTTTTCCGCCTTAGCTGCGGGCTTCTCAGCGGCAGGCTTCTCAGCCTTGGCTGCGGGCTTGTCAGCTTTCTTGCCATCTGCGGCCTTAGCGGCTGCAGGGGCCTTGGCTGGGGCAGCCTTGGTTGCCGCGGGTTTCTTGGCCTGGAACAAACGGGGACAGTGTTAGAAGGTAATACAAGATGACAACCATCAGGGCACCTGATTATCAGCAGCATCTAATTGAAAACTCTGATGACAAACTCGGTTCTGAGACCGATTATTGGTGTTTAAATGGGCACGACGATTGACAAAGATACTGTGAAAAGGTAGAGGGAGCTGTCTGACATTAAGTGATCCAGTTAACCCTTACACATAACAGCACTACCACAGGGGATCATAACCTAAAGATAAAAAATAAAGAGACTCGAAAGTACTGTCCGTTTTCAAAGAATCGCGTCAGAAACACATAACAAAGACCACAGGTAGCCCACTTCACGAAAATTTCCAACTTAAAACATAGCCACGAGATCACTAACATTCTGAACATATCAACAGAGCTTCGCCTGCATATTTACATCCGCATCAATACAAAACATCGCGTACCGGTTAGGCATCAAAGTTAGAGACCTTAATAATATGCACATCGAAATTACAGCCGGCGATAATATTAATTGGATTGAACAAGGTTGTGACATTAAAAATACAGATTAAAAAGTCGGCACAATTTCCTAACCATGACTGCACGTACGGCACCGGGACAGTATCAATTGTGACAACTACGTCGATATCCAAGCAGCGAATGTCCAAGGATAACCGACGCAGTTGCGTCAAGACCACAAATTAACGAGTTCAAGGTTTAAACCGGCTAAATATCTCTTAAAACAATCATGAAGCGTGGCACCTACCGGAGGCATTTTACTCAAGAGACGAAACGTGTGGGAAATGGCCGAGTGAGAGGGAGAGAGGTCTTCTTCCGCTTTCTGTTGTTCTTCCTTTGACGGCTGCTGATGAAGAGTGAGGCGCGCGGCCAGCTTTCTGAGGCAGAGATGTCGTCTGCAAGCGCGTCTCAAAAAGTCATTTCCACGCCCAATACAACAGTTTCTTTCACGAAAACTTCCAAACTTGTAAGTAAATGGTTAGTTTATGGCTTTAGGAGCGCGTCAATGCTAAATATCTGCTTGAATATCCACGAAATTCGAGTTATCATGTGTGAGAAGACTGTCGTTCCGTTTCGCAGGCGGTGGACAGTGGCTGACCACGCAGCAAGCACGACTGCCCGGCTGCGTGCACACGTCATTTACGTTTGCCAGTTTCTTCTCTTATTTCAATTGTCGTAAGTGTCACTGCGTTTTAGAAACATTTTTGTTCTCTTCCTCTTTTGACATTGTATGTGTCGCTATGCGGCTGTACCTTTTATTCCGTATTGTTTTTTGTGAAAGTTTCCTAACCATCGGGTGAAAGGGTGTTTACTTCCTCAATATGTTTACATTTCTGGAATGTTAGCCCGATTGAGTATTTGGTTTCTCAAAATATAAATTAAACTCACTTTTATTTTTATTATCATTTCCAGGATTTCATCAACCAGTCAAAAATGGACTCTCTGAAGAAAGGCTGGTTTAGTGAACTGAATGAACTATGGCCGGGAATGAGTTTGTCGCTTCAAGTGGAAGAAGTGCTGCACAAGGAAAAATCCTCGTATCAAGACATAATGGTGCTGCAAACGTAAGCCTCTTAAGCTGCAGTAACTATTTCACTTGATTAAAATCAATCAACTAATGCAATTCTTGTTGCTGTTTTTTAACTACAGGAAGTCTCATGGGAAAGCCTTAATCCTGGACGGTATAATCCAATGTACTGAATCAGATGAATTTGCTTATCAAGAAATGATATCATTCTTGCCTTTGTGTTGCCATCCTTCTCCAAAGCGAGTATGTCTTTTGGATGCCTTATCTCACTGTCTCACTGTATCAATGATTTATTTTTAAAATCAATTTTATTTACAGGTGCTTATTGTTGGTGGTGGTGATGGAGGAGTCGCTAGAGAAGTAGCCAAGCACCCTGATGTTGAGAGAATTGATCAAGTAGAAATTGATGCACAAGTAATTGAAGTTTCCAAAAAATTCTTACCCTCTATGGCCGTTGGTTTTTCGCATCCCAAGCTATCACTTCATGTGGAAGATGGATTCAAGTTCATGCAACAACACGAGCACGAGTTTGATGTGGTAATTACGGACTCGTCAGATCCCGTAGGTAAGCTTTCAAGGACAGTATTATTCAAAGTCTAATTTGTATGGATCTTGAACCCTTCTTAATGGCATGTGTCTTTTCAGGTCCAGCAGTTTCTCTTTTCCAAGAGAGCTACTTCAGTTTAATGCGCCGTGCTTTGAGACCTGGGGGCATCGTATGTTCTCAGGGTGGAACAGTGTGGGCCAATTCTGAGCATGTTGCGCAAACACTCTCTCATTGTCAGGCTACCTTTCCAGCTGCTGCTTATGCTTATGCTGCTGTTCCCACCTACCCCACTGGTCAGATTGGTTTTGTCCTTGGAAGTCTAGATGAGGTATGTTCTAATACTTTCAATACAGTACAAACTACACTTGTACCAGCATTGACCTCAAAGAAACCAAATTTTGAATGTTTTGTTTGTCTTTTCAGAACACAAAATTCCGAGATCCTGTAAGAAAATTTAGTGATGATGAATTGGAATCAATGCATCTTCGTTACTACAATTCTGACATTCATCAAGCTGCATTCACTATGCCACGATTTGCACAGAAAATTTTGTCTTCGACATCGAATCCTTCTGACAGAAATAACAATCCAGGTGATTCATCCTAATACGGGTCTGTGGCCTTGGACATGGTTATAAACATAACTGATCCAAAGTGCTCATATGATTTCCTAAGTGAAGTTCAGTTTCCAAAAAGTCTTCAAAGCCATATCTTATATAGACTTATCTGCTTGCTTCATGGAAATTTTATTTTTCTTGAGACTGCATTATGTTGAAGACTCTTTGGAGCTCTTACATTCCTACTAGATAAACTTTTTGTTTAGCATTGATCTGAAGGAGAATTACGTTTTTAGTTGACCAACAAGATTTTTGTACTGATTTATATAACAGTTATTTTGAGGCTGGTTCCACTTTTGTGTGTTTAGAAGCATACTTTATTCATTTTCAATGCTAATACCACACTATGATTAAGTTTTATAAGATTTTAGTTGCCTTTTGGTACTCTAGATAAAATGTTTATATTTTATATTTTCATAATATTTTTTTGTCCCCCAAAATTTTGATCTCATGAATTTTTTCATGTCTTTATCGTTGTTTTTACCCACCATGAGGGTTGGTAATGCAGTTGTGAATTTTTCCACCTGTATCATCGTTTTATTTCAGTCCATGTACTTGTCATTATACTTTATTTATTATATTGTCAGAGGCTTGATTCTTGAAGCCACAAATCCCTTTGTACTGATTGATAAATCCTGTCTGTTTGAAAGTAATCTTTTCAAACAGAATCTTTTTATTTCAAATAAGATAATTAAATGAAATTCTATTGGAAGTTTTGGGCGCTTCACCGAAAGGGTTTTTCTCTTTTTGTATCATTGAATCCTATTCCATGATCCTGGGAGAGATTGGAAAGGGTAGGTTGGGGAAGAGATACGGAAGTTGACTATCATCGCTTTAGTCACTTCTAAAGCATTAACTTACTGAACACAACTGAAAGTCAAATAAGCATCACAGTATTTATAAATAACCTACATTATAATATTTATTCATATACATGAATACACACATTTTCTGTGGTGATATGTCTTATAACAAATAATAAACATAGGAATTACAGATCTTGCAATATTCTATAAATTAAATAAAGTAACAGTGCACTTTGGTACATATTGGCTGACAACATTAAACCATCAAACAGCTAGCAAATACTCAACGTCCTACCATGTGTTCGACTTTCTTTTTCTGGAGCCCTTATTGGTGCTCGATCACAGATTGCAGGGATCACCACGGACCAGCTCTGACGAGGATAGTGCATTCACGAACACAAGCGGCGAAGTCTCTCGCAAAGCGTTGCAAATTGTTGAACACTGGAAGAAACTGCCACATCTACGTGTCGCCATTCCTTTCCGCAGGTGGCAGGGAAACTTGAACTCCTGGGAGAAGGGATTGGCGCTCGCTTCTGCTTCAGGGCCCACACTGCAGTCGCGACGCGTCGATACTCCTTGCGTCAGGGCCTCTGAGTCCGCTCGGCGCGCTCGGCGGTCGCGGCGGCACTACCCCACGCCGACTGCCCCGATGGCCGTTGCGTTCACGACGACGCCATGAGCTTGCTGTGGTGGTGACTATGGTGACTGTGGTGATGGTGGTGGTGGGCGTAGTCGGGGGGTGACGAGGACGCGTGGTGGTGGCCAGGGAGGCCGAACTGCTGCGCCGCCGCGAAGGGGCCGTGGGTGCCGGGGTAGCCGACGTTGGGGGCGATGGAGCCGAGCGGCCCCAGCGACCCCAAGCCGCCCCCGAGCGCGCCCCCCAGCCCCAGGGGCTCGGATTTGATGGGGTGGTGCGCCGCCTGGTACATGGCGGTGATGACTCCGTCGGCGCGCTTTTTACCGCCTGCAACGACCAAACGTCCATGTTATCGAAACTTTTTCTACGATATAGCGCGGGTGGTTTGGGCGCCAGGTCGGCAGTACCCACCTTGGTCCGGGGAGGACGACAGCTTGTCGCCGCCCGAGTGCTTGGTGTCGCTGGAGGCGGCCGAGGACTGCGACAGCGGCGACGACGCCGACGTGGAGGTGGTGGTCGTGGAGGAGGTGGAGCCGGAGCCGCCCTGCTGCTTCTTGGGCTTGCGCTTCCGCGTCTGGATGCCGTCCTTGCGCATGCTGATGGGCCTGTTGACGCCGTGCAGCTTGAAGTACAGCCCGCACGCGTTGCACACCGGCTCGCCCTCGTTGTTGCGCCGCCACAGTGTCGTGGTGCGCGTGCCGCAGTTGGTGCAGCACAGCCCCAGGCGCCGCGTCGCCGTCTGCAAAGCAAGGCCTCCGTCAACAAGTGCCGCAACACCGTGGCGCGAGGGGTTCACAGTGGGCCAGAAGAAGACCGGTGGAGGCGGACAAAACTCTAGACGCGTTTTGAGTTGCAGAGTCGCTAAATGGGACTCGAACCGAACGTGTGACCCCACCAATGGACTGCTCTCCGAAAGAGGAATCCATTGGTGGGGTCACACGATCGGTTCGAGTCCCATTTACCGACTCTGGAGCTCGCAAAACGAGTCTAGAGTTTTGTCAACCGCGTCAACCGGTCTTCTGTTCCAATCCCAATGTGGGGCTCCTTCAAAAGTAGGTGTACCGACTGCATTGCCACTTTGATTAGATTGAAAATCTCACGTAATGCGTCGAAAAATGCTGCCACAGGGCAAATTTATGTGGTCTTAGAGACAGACTGAGACATGGACAAAGTGAGGCGCCCCTTTGCAAGGGCGTAACCCATCGCTCGCACGTAACCAGTGAACGCGAATAGCTCCTCGAACAATACCATGCGATTTGACGATGGCGTTCCAAACCGTCAACTACGTACCTCGAGTGGATGGCAGAGGTTGCTGACTTCGTTGACGAGTCTCTTGGACGGCTTGACCAGCGGCCTGTTCATGCCGTTCATCTTGTGGTACAGGCCGCACGCGTTGCACAGGTAGTGCCCCGTGCCGTCGCGGCGCCACAGCGGCGTGGACACGGCGCCGCAGTTGACGCACTCGCGGCCCTCGCCGAACTGGAAGTCCATGGAGCCGTCTGGAGGGGAACAACGCCACGCTTGAGATAGGGACTAAATTAAGTAAGAAATCGACGAATTCTCGAAAGTTCATTCCCCAAAGTCGTTTGATTCCATACCCTCCTCCCAGTCAAAAGTTCACTCGATCCTCCTCCTCCCCCAGGACAACAAGAAATTCCAAATGTCAATATGATCTCAAAATGAACGATTTTGGTCAAATTTTGGTCCATTTCGATGCCAAAATCACATCATTGTACTATTTTGACTTCCTGTGGGGGGGGGGAATCTCCCTCCTTTTCCTTCCTTACCGTAGGGCGACGCTCGTTGGAAGGCCGCGCCGTCGTAGGCCCGCCAGGGGTTCATCATCATGTTCTGCGCGTACAGGGCGTGGTGGGCGGCGTGGTGGGCCGCGTGGTGGGCCGCGTGGTGGGCCGTGTGGTGCTGGTACTGCGACACGTAGCCGTCGTGCCCCGACTGGTGGCCGCCCCACGACGAGCCCCACGCCCCCGTGGACCCCACCCCCGCGCCGCCGTACTGCGGGGGCAACACGGCTCTCGTCGAAGGCACGTACACCTGGACACGAATTTGCATTTTAGTTTCGATCATTCTGCGATGGCCTGAATGTTTTCTGCCGCTTCTTTTCAACACGAGAGAAGGGCGGACAGTGGGCTAGAAGACCGGTGGAGGCGGCCACAACTCTGGACGCCTTTTGAGCTCCAGAGTCGCTAAATGGGACTCGAGCCGAGCGTGTGCGACCCCCACCAATGAATTCCTCGTTCGGAGAACAACCCATTGGCGGGGCCACACGTTCGGTTCGAGTTCCATTTAGCGACTCTGGAGCTGAAAACGCGTGTAGAGTTTTGGCCGCCTCCTCTGGTCCTCTGGCGCACTGTGGAGCACCCTTCGCTCATGTTTTCGCGTCGCTGGAGCTTACAGGCTGTTGGGCGTCTTGTTGTTGGTGCGCGTGCTGCTCGTGCTGTTGGTGGTGTTGGTGGTGTTGGTGGTGCTGCTGGTGCTGGTGCTGCGACTGCTGCTGTTGTTGCTGTTGCTGCTGTTGCTGCAGGTACCCCGTTGTCCCGGTGGATGTTGACTCCGGATACATGTCGGAGTTGACCGCGCAGCTGCCGGTCTGGAACATGGTGCGTGCGGACCTGCGACAAAGCGAAGCAACGCGCGCGGTGAGACACACTGTGAGACACGGGGCTCGCGGCTTCCGGTGTTGGCCACTCCTTGCTGCTGACGCGCACACTGCAAATCCACTCAGGAAGAACGGCAAGAAAAAAACAAAGTCGAAATGAAGTCAAAATGATGCCACAGGATGCCGTTTTCGACACCAAAACGACATTCGTAGACCCCTTGTTAGACCCCGCATCGCCCCGCATGGCCTCTTTTTGGCCTGCTTGTTCTTTTTGGGCAAGTTTAAGACGCTTTATATTGGCATTGCACATTCCCGCAACCATGGTTCGTACATAAAATTGTCAACCCTCGGGAAATTAAAAGTTTTTGGCCTTGCGAGAGGCACAGTCCATAGCTGACGCGAGACGACGAATTTAGTAAATTGGCTTTCATCATATAGTGAAAATCAAAATGCTACTCCCGGGAATTTCAACTGTATAATGTCAGTTAACTAACCCGCGAATACTTCCGTGTGTGTGTGTGTGGTGGGGGGGGGGGGGGGCAGAGGCCTTCCTTCTCCTCCTCTAGGTGGCGCCGCCCGGCCCCTATGCGACGGCGGCGGCCCCCATGCCCCCCGCATCCCCGCACGGGCCCCGCTTTCGCCCCGATGTCCCGATAGCCCGCCGGCCCCCCACCTGTCCCCGTAATGCCGCGGGTTGGGCCTATTTGAAAACGGACCGTCGGTGGCGCCTCCAGGCCGGCTGTCCCGGCCGGGCGGCTGGCCCCGCACAGTGGGCCAGAAGACCGGTGGAGGCGGCCAAAACTCTAGACGTGTTATTAGCTCCAGAGTCGCTAAGCAGGGCGCGAACCGAACGTACCACCAATGGATGGCTCTTCGAACGAGGAATCCATTGGTGGGGTCACACGTTCGGTCCGAGTCCCATTTAGCGACTCTGGAGCTCAAAACGCGTCTGGAGTTTTGGCCGCCTCCACCGGTCGTCTGGCCCACTGTGCCCCGCTGGGGCGGCAGAGCCCAGGGCAGAGGGGCCGCCACGCGACGCCCTCGGCGTTGGGGACAAATCGAGCCGGGGAAAAAATAAGAGAAACGAAAGCCGAACCAACGTAAACAACAACAAAGGGACGTCGTCGTTCCGGTCTTGTCTTTGATCCGGTTTTGACGTTGACTTTTAGGGGTACTAAGTTGAGTAAGATAAGTACCTACATAGGGTGAAAAAAATGCACCCTTATGGAGCTGACATTTTGACTTTCAGCCGTCCTTGAACTGTATTTATTTTAACTAAGCATGAAAATATGAGAGCAAAAATCATGTCAAATGGATAGGTAGATCCCTACTGCAGGGTAGCACAATTTTCTTTCCCAACTTTACACCAGGACACTCACTAAAATAAATGAAAACAACAACAACGAAACACAACTGGGTGGATAGAAACGCGTTTCACAAGCGGTTGATGTTACAGCTACAGATACTCTACTTCATCGAGCTAACTCGTTGAGTGTATTACTGCATTTGCTGATTCCTAAGCGTGGATTCCGCGCAGCCGATGCGGGGCTCCCGGTGCCCCCGCGCGGCGGCCGTGGGCAGCCGTGGGACCACCGGGGCGGCTTGGCGGCGTCGTCGGCGCCACCCCACCGTCGGCTCCGCCATGGCGCCGCGCCGGCCGCGCCGATAGTACCGATACTCGAAAACGGAATGGAGTCGGCTAGTCCGGACGACGGCGACGACCGCCACAATCTTATCCAGGACGTGTCACCGCGGCCGGCCGGACGGCGCGGAGGACGGCGCGGACACCGGGGACGCCGGCGGCAAGGCGGGGCCGCCGCCACGGCCTCCACGTCGCAAGGGCACGCTGCCGCACGCACTGCGGGGCGGTTCCGCGCTTCGTCGCTCTGTCTCTCTCGCACCCCGACGCGACGCCCCACGAGTGCGAGAGAGACGGAAGCAGGTTCGGCGTGCTGAATGATGGCGGTCGAGCAGCCTCGCGTTCGACGAAACGCTGCTCGGCGCCCTGCTTGGCGTTGCACAGTGGGCCAGAAGACCGGTGCCGGCGGTCAAAACTCTAGAAGCGTTTTGAGCTCCAGAGTCGCTAAACAGGACTCGAACTGAGCGTGTGACCCCACCAATGGATCCATCGTTCGAAGAGCAATCCATTGGTGGGATCACACGTTCGGTTCGAGTCCCATTTACCGACTCTGGAGTTCAAAACGCGTCCGAAATTTTGACCGCCTCCACCGGTCTTCTGGCCCACCAGGCCCACCAGGGCGGTGCCCTCCAGGACGGCCCCCTTCAGCTTCAGCCTCCCCAGCGCGCCGCAGTGGTGAACCCCCTGGCCACGGCCACGGCTTCGAGGCGGCGCGCGGTCGCCGAAGGGGTTCACCGCCCCCTTGACGCCTCCGCGCACCGGCAGCACCGGCAGGTCCTACTTGTGATGATCCTTTGAGTGCGGCAGGGCGGCGGGGAACATTAACGCGGCGCCAAGACGCTGGCCGGGAAGCCGGAGTCCGGGAGGCGCTGCACTGCGCGTTCCCAAATCGTCTGCTTATCGGGGTGGGCCTTGGCCGCCTTGGCCCTGCCTGCCTCGGCCTTGAGCCCGTGATACAGTAGGCTGCTTCCGAAATGAACCCCGTCGCTCTGTCTCCCTCGCACCCCTCCGGGACGCCCCGCGAGTGCGAGAGAGACAGGAGCAGCGCTCGGAGTCATCCCGCAGCGCCTGACAAATGCGCCCTAAGAGGCCCATCCTGGCCCAGCCCCAACGCCACCGTGCACGGCGTGTGAGGAGAGAGATATCACAGACGCCAGTCGTATTAGAGAGAGAGAGAGAGAGAGAGAGAGAGGCCGAGGCGTCTCAGACGGCGTCCCAGACACGGCGTCCCAGACACCGCGGCCGCCGCGCGCCCGGTGGCGGCTTGGAACCACCGAGCCGTGAACATGGGATCAAAAAGTAGTAGTAGTGGCTCGACGGCGCTCTTGAGGAGGGCATCGGGCGTCGATGACACGCACCAGCCGACTGATTCCGCACATCGCTGTCCCAGGATAGTCGCTCTGTCTCTCTCGGACTCATGGGGTGGGTGCGAGAGAGACAGGGAGAGGGAGCCGAAACGCTGGGTGGAATCAGTCTGCAGGAGCAGTGAGGTGCCTGGTCTCTTTCTAGGAGGGAATTAAGATGCCGTTCCTCACTATTGTACTTATTTAAAACCTCGAAAAGGGGGAAAAAAGAATCGTGCCGGGTGATACGTTATCAGCTTGTTCCTGCCGTTTTCCTTGTTCTGTCCGTGCCCCTTTTTTTTCGCGACAAGTATTTTTTTTTGCGACAAAACAAGAAGTTTCCGTGCGACACGGCGTAGACGGGCTGCCATCTTTGTAGATACGACGGCCGTTCGGGCCAGACCGCCTTACCCCAGCACTGCCCACAGAAAACTCATCATTTCCCGCTAAAAATTTAAAACAAAATCAATGATAAGGCAATTCTCTATGATGATTGTTCACATCGACTTGCGAGTTTGCTATGTACGAACGCGTGTTGCGGTTTCAGACGGTCGTTCGCTAGTTCTAATTGGAATTTGAAAACGAGAGGGAGTGAGAGAGAAAGAGGGGGGACCGGCACCGCGAGCTTATCTCACTACCCGCATGCGATACTAGTCGTCTGCGTGGGTGCAGGCAAACACCGTATTTCGCAGGGGGGGGGGGGTCTTCGTCGGGGGCACGCTGTTTTCTTCACTCTAAATGTTTTAGTACGGTGTGGTGGAAGACTGCACCAGCATATGATGGAGAAGATTGTCTCCATCTAATACGAAATAAATTCGACCAAAATATTTGAATTTTTCCACGTAAAGTTAAAAAGTTGGCTGCACCAACATAATATAGAGAATCTTTACCACAAGACTTTTGGAGTGTTGGAGTTCAGAGTAAAGTACCCTTTTAAGTTTTTTTTAAAATTATTATTTGAAAATATTTTTTTAAACCGCGACGGCTGGCTAACAAAGCACGTGAGTCGCGAATTGACTTGTCAACAGGTTGTCAAAACGCTCAGCGCCAAACGTAAGCACAGGCACTGTGAAACAGCGACGCGAGTTCGGCACACCGACAGTACCTTTATCTGGGGCCATTCGATCGACTTGTCCGGGGCTGCGGCTCGGATTGAGCGGTCCAGAGGGGCGGACTTGGACCCAAAATGTATCACTGTCAGCAGACTGATTCCGAGAGTCGTTTTTGTCGCGCTGTCCCTCTCTCGCACTCATGGGGCGTCCCGTGCAGGTGCGAGCGGGACAGAGCGACGAAAACGACTCTCAGTCTGCAGACGACGAAGTGAGGTGTGGTGCTGGCGGAGGCGGCGTCAGGTGACGCGAAAAAGGGACGGGAAAAAAGGGGGACGAAAAAGAAGAAGACAAAACGTAAGCTTACAGTGGTGTCAGCGAGAGGGGGGACTTGAGGAGCAGGATAATTTGTGTTTGCCCCTGACAGCCCCGTGTCCACAGAGGCGCGCGCACGTACGTACACACACACACACACACACACACACACACACACACACACACACACACACTGATCAGAGGGCACCCGACACAAAGTCAGGTATAAGCGTGCAGAGTGCAGAGAGTAAACAAATAAGGAGGCACCCATTAGGCGGCAGTCCGCCTTTTGTTTTTGTTATTTTTTAAAGGCGGGTGAATTATAAGATGGCAATGATCCCTGGGGTTTTGGTGGTCGTGGCCTCTTTCGAAGTTCCAAAGGAGCTTATTGGCAGTTTAGCCGTGTAGTAGCCCCGTCTGCGACACGCTGCTGGTAGTCTCCCTATGCTGCTCGCAGACCGTCGCGGAGCCCAGACAGCGTGACCATCCACCCGCATGATGGGCGCCGGCGCAGTGATAGTGCGTCCACGTGTGTGTGTGTGTGTGTGTTGCGTGCGTGTGTGTGCGCACGCGTGTGCGTGTCCACGGACTGTGACACGGCACACCGTGACGTACTTGTCTACTAACCGTCTCCCGCACGTGCCCACCACGCGCGAACGTACGTACA